CAGAAGAATATATGCACCCCTATGTTCATAGCAGGGCTATTCTTAATAACTAAGATCTGGAAACAGCCCAAGTGCCCATGAGTAGATTGAATTAAAAAGCTGTGATGCATTCACACCATGGAATACTATGCAGCTGTAAAAGAGAAGGATCTCTTACCTTTTGCGACAGCATGGGGGGACCTGGAGAGTTCTAAGCGAAATAAGCCAGTCAGAGAAAGACAAGTACCACATGACCTCACTTATATGTGGAATCTAATGAATGAAATAAACTGACGAACAAAATAGATCCAGAAACATGGAAGCATGGAAAACAGACTGATGAATCTCAGAGGAAAGGGGGTCGGGAAGAGATTAACCAAAGAACTTATTTGCATATATGCATAACCCATGGACACAGACAGTAGTGTGGTGAAGGCCTGGGAAGGAGAGGAAACTGAGTGGAGGGGGTCAATGGGGGACATCTGTAATACTCTCAACAATAAAGATAAAAAAATAAAAGTAGGGATTATATACTAGAAATATGTAGGCAATTACTGACTTACATTTTGTGTATGTATACCTTTTCTTGGTTTATGAAGAGTCTGAGGTACATTTAAATGTACAGAGTTAAATTTGGTAATACTCCTCTCGGTTTAATCAAAGAATAATTAGGAGCTGCAAGGGGCCACCCTTCCTTTTTCTTGGGTAAACATGACCGGGTGGATATGGGCCATGATCACGGGTGTTTGGTTGTTACTAACATGCAGAAGGGAAGGCTGTTGGCTTCCATGGAGGTGAATCACCCTGAGGGTTTAGCTTGGCAGTTTGACAGGGGAAAACAGGCAGCCCTATCCACCACTCTTTCTGCTTTTCCAGTTCTCACACAAATCAGATGCTTTCACTTATTCTGCAAATTAAAAAGTCACATATGAAACTTTAGTTTGTGCTGATTGTTCCACATTTATTATTACTCTCCCTTTACAACCAGTGGGAGAGGCTGCTTTTTCTTAGCATGACTTTATTTCAGGAGTTTTTAATCGTGCAAACCATCTCTAGTGGTTTTTCTTTGGATGCGAATGTAAACCATTACCAATGGTAAATTTCATCCATCTATTAAAAATAACACCTTATGTAACAATTGGCTGTAAGCACAACAATAAAAAGGATGTAAGTATTTATTCAGTGTCACACTAAATTAGCTTGATCTACACCCCTAGTTATTTCCTTTTGGAATGATTGTTAAGCTCTTGCAGAATCCAACTGTGAGCCGCACTGGGATCTAAAATAGCAGGCAGTTGAAATCACTTTGAGCTTAGAAATCAAGAGGCAGTGTACTTTATATTTCATGGAGAATTCTAAGATCTCCGATCCGCCATCACTTTACTCCTGCTCCTCAACCAAGTTTATATAATCCAAACCATGAAGGAACATCCTGTAATTTTCATTATATTTACAAATCCCCCAAACTCTTTAAATGATATACCGTAAACTCAGTGTACTGACCATCTTATGCTGTGAGAGACACAATAATGATATGATAGTCAAGGGCACAGGCGCTGGAGCCAGTCTGTTCTGTGAGATGTTGGGCTAGTTACTTAATATGTTATTAGTGTCTGTTTCCCTATGTGTGACACGAAGACCATGATAATAGTACCTACTTTGAGAGGTTATTGTGAAGATTAAATGTCTCTAGGTATATATAATTTACTTAGAACAATCCCTGGTACATAGTAAGTACTACCTAGACGTTTACTAACATTTTCTTTTTCAAGAGAAATGAGCCTTTGGTGTGCCTCTGTGTCCCCTTTCATGCTGTGCCACATGCATTTGTCCTTCCCAGCTGACCTCATCACCCCACTCCAAGAAATGTAATGACTTATCAGTCTGGTCTATAGTGAAACTGAAATTAAAAAAAATAAAATAAAAATCAAGGCATCGTAGCCACCTTTCCTTAGGGAAGGCTTGTCTTGAGGAATATTCATGGTTCCTAAGATATGATTTTAATTTTTCTCCTCTCAAGTCAGCTAGGTGGGTTATGATGTTCTGGATGCAGAACTAACTGGCTCCTAATGGCTGGTTTAATTCCTCTTTGATGGCCTTTGGGAGGTGATGCAAAAGTACCAGCATCTTACCAAACTGCCTACAACTAAATATTTTCATGGAAAGCTTTTCTGGTTCTACATTTTAAACTAAGTAAAACCAAACATATGAGTACTGACAGTTCTTCAGAAATTTAAAGTGTGTTCTCGAATATTTACTGTGAATATCACATGGTTACAAAAGCTGCAAAATAAGGCCATGGCATCTAATTTATGTAATAAAAATCCATTGTTATTCTTAGTATAACTATCATCATTTCTTTAAAAGCAAAAACAAAACTATCAATCCAGATGGTAGATAAGGAAATAATGCAAGTGTTTATATTCAAACAAATTAAACTGTTTTTAATGTTATGTAAAGTACTACTGTCAGGAAAATGCTTTAATTAGCCAACTCTTTTTCCAGAGATTACAGGTAATGCCATTTGATATGTTTGTCTTAATTTCATTTCAAGAGTCATCATTGACTCTAACCATTGCCTCTCTTAGGCAGTTCCAAATTTACAAAAAAATTGAACTCCTAAGTTGAAAATTAATATACTAGACTACCTCCTCTCCTCTTTTAACACCATAAAGGGCATTTAAACAAATCAAGGCACTTTGTACCTCAGTGCTTTGTCTGGCTGTGAGCCTTACCCATGTGATACCATAGAAAGCTCTTTTCTAAATACATCACCAGAACTGAGGACATTTAATAACTGTGCTGCCAGGCATAGATAAATAACACCCCATGTTTTTCTTTTCTTTTTTAAAAAATATATCTTTATTGATTTCAGAGAGAGGAAGGGAGAGGGAGGGAGAGACAGAAACATCAACGATGAGAGAGTCATCGATCAGCCGCCTCCTACAAGCCTTTGAACCCATAACCTGCATGCCCATGTGCCCCGACAGGGAGTCGAACAAGTTCTCCTGGGTCCTAGGTCGATGCTCAACTGCTGAGCCACACCTGGCCAGGCAACACCACATGTTTTTCTCTGTGGACTCACCGCTTTCCTAATTCGCAAGCTATGTGGGTTTAGTTGGAATGAACCCCACTACTAGTCCCCTGCATGTGTCTTGATTGCCTTAAGAAGACCAGTGTATCACCAATGGCCATTGTGATTGGCTCAGGGATGGTCACACTTAACCAATTAGGGCCATTGATGACCTTTGCTAGGCGATCTGAGAAATAACTTTTCCGTCTCCCCTGTGTGAGCAACAACAACAACAAAAAAGTAAAAAAGCTCTTTCCTTAGAATGGAATCTTGCCATTGAATGAGTGGTAGGAGAATATGAGGTCTGAAAGTGTGGTAGTCATGTTGACAAGAAGAAAAGAGATGCTGGAGGCACTGGGTGGTGGTGGAGGGGTGGCCAGAACCCTGTGGGACCTGACTTAGAAGACATGGAAGCCAGCCTCTTTAAGCTGGAGGTGGAGAGACCTGAGCTCCGGGAACATTTTGGTTCGAGCTTCACTTGAACCCGTCAGAACTCGACTTTTCAGTTACTAAGTCAACACATTTCCTTTAATGTTTGTCAGTCTGGGTTGCATTTTCTGTTACTTGCAACATAAAGAGCCCTAAACAGTGCAGGCAAAATAGTTTAGACTAGATAAGAACTTCTGGGCCACAGAACTTGCATTCAGGAACTCAAAGGTGCTACCTCCACCATGACGGGGAATGGGAAGGAAATGATCAACGGCAAATTGTCAGCCAGTGAAAGATAGGTGAGAAACCCAAGGACGGCTTCCATGGCGATGCCAAGAAGGTAAAGGAAGAGTCCAAAAGACATAGCTTAGGAGTTAGGAGTAACTGCTTGGGCATGCCAGAGAGGAGAAGCCCAAACTGGCATTACTATTTATAAACAATGACTAAATAGTAATCAGGTATTTGTGATTAGAGGCTGCCTGATTCTCATAACTGGTTGGTAAGGTGATTATAAAAAGTTTTCTAGTTAATAGAAAAAAATGGTCATTAATGGAACTGCAGTCTTCATCTTTTAAGAATGATTGCTTTTTTTTAATTTTTAATTTTTTAAAGTATATCTTTATTGATTTCAGAGAGAGAAAGGGAGAGGGAGAGAAAGAGTTGAAACAGCAATGATGAGTCATCGATCAGCTGCCCCCTGCACGCCCCCTACTGGGGATTGAGCCTGCAACCTGGGCATGTGCCCTGACCGGGCATCAAAACCCGATCTCCTGGATTTTAGGTTGATGTTTAGGTAGATGCTCAACAGCTGAGCCATGCCCAGCTGGACTGATTGCTTATTTTTAATGCAGGTAAAATAGATTTACTTTGTAAGAAAAAAGACATGAGAATAAGGGTCTATTTTTCAGGTTATTCTAATCAGTGGATGCTAAACAATGGTAAACAAGTTTTTAAAATACGTGCTAGATTTGTTCACTTGTCGTTGCTGAGTGTCTGATTCAATAAGCAATACTTTTCTTAAACTTTAGGGGTCACGTTTAAATGTTTAGCCTTGATTTTAATATTAGACCTGAGACATTTCCATGTGTTTTCTCTTTTCCACAAATTATTGTTCTTCTTTGGTAAATAAAATTGAAAGGAAATAGAATGAGACCTGGGGGACAGGAAAACATTTCTTTAGCTTATTATTAAAAAAGAAAAAAAAAGAAAAAAAAGAATATTCTTTTTTGTCCATTCTGCACTTAGAAATCTATTTTTTCTACATAATACTGAAATATTTAACAATTCATAAAAAAACTATACATTTACATTAAAATACAACCTTAAATATAGCCCTGTAATTTTTACCAGGAACCTTGTAAAATATGATGAATATATATGCTGAGTACTGAAACAAGAAAGACCATTCAACATTCACAAGAAAAGCAGCATGACACACAATATAATAAATATCCAGGAAATCAAATCCACAAATTGAGCATTATTCTGATTTAGATTCTTTTTTTAGTTAAGTCTTCTATACTTTTTGTATAATTTATTATAATAACTTTACAAGTTAAACATTAACTAATTAAAAACAGAACTCAACCAATCTGACTGCTGAAATAACACAAACCTCAATGTTTTGAAGCATATTTTAATCTATAATACTTATAAAACTGTCATTTTGGCAAGAAATACACATCCATATAACTGCTCAATTAACTTCTTTTTCAATATATAAAAAAAAGTCAGAGTTGATAGTATAAAAAAACAGAAGCTAATATTATTTCTGAGATAATTTTATTGCCTTAGCTCTTGGGCTTTGGCAATAAATGTCTTAAGTTTTAATATATATCATATAACTTAGAAACTATTTACAAAATATAAAACTTTTTAAAGCAAAATACTATACAAAATACTGTTTTATACATTTAAAGGGTGCTTTTCCTTATAATGCTTTCCCTAATAATGCGAGACCTTTACCTCTAGTTTCTACGAGCTTTCAGGATCCCTTCCTCACGCAGTAATTCAGAGCTGGGTTTTTAATAATAGCAGCTGGTCTATGATTAAAGTATGAGGCTGAACATCACAGATTGCTTTATACCTTACTGAGATTTTTCTAGAAATTCTGATTAAAAGCCACTTAAAATCCAAATTATATATTTTACTTTGTTAAATTTTGATTTTTTTCCTTTGGTCATTAAACCTAGCAAACACTTTTTAGGAATATTATATCACTTGAGAAAATTCGTTTTAATTGCTTTTCTTTCCAAATGAATAGAAGAGTCAGAAAGCACTCACCTCTTCTCTTAACAGTTCAACATCTGTTTCTAGGCACAAACACTTAAAATGATTTCTTCATCTAAAAGACTGAGAGAATAAATGAGATTCATGTGTACTGCTCCTTGCTGCTATAAGGGGTGTCTTTTTAAAATATTCACCCACCATTATTGAGTTCCATGGTCAAGGATCTTATCCTGAGGATGGACCAGGTCTTCCGCAGGAAGGTTCTTTCTTGCTGGGGGACAGATTATCGTCCTCGTATGTCAATATACATTTTCCAAATCATCACATTATGAACCCAAACCTTTTAGAGTTCCCCCAAATCTGCATGCTCGGTGTATAACTGGACACTGACCAGGTAAAGGGAACTGTGAGAGGTCCAAGGATCTGGGGATTCTGCTGCAAGAGTGGGCTTCACTGGCACTGCCGTGTGGCACTCCCTGTTGTCAGTGAGGAGTGTTGCCCAAGGCTGGACGGACCGGTCACTTGCAAGTGTGGACATCAGTCATGCTTTCGCACCTCCTGCAGCGAACATAGCAGCACCAGATAAACTTGCACTCACACCTCTCCACGTGCCTGACCACGTGGGTGTTGTAGCCTCGGCCGCAGCAGAGGAGGTTGCAGCCATCCGCACCCTCCGACGTCCGGTTGCATTCTCTGCCTTGCGTCCCCGGGATCCCTAATCTCTTATCCTCTACACAGTAGTTGGGAGACTTGTTAATGTAGAGAAGGTCATCCTTGTGGATCGGCACCTTCCTCTGGTCTTTTTCTCTCCTGCGCATCTTCTTTTTTATTTTGTCTGAGACTTGAACACTGTTCTCATATTTATCCTTCAACAGATGGCCAATCTTTTCAAAGGAAGACATGGTTCTCCAGCATGTTTTCACAGCACAGGAGCCAGAAACTCCGTGACAGCGGCAGTCTACTGACATCAGCTTGGCGACAGCCTGAAACCAACAGGAATTGTGTTAAATATCACTCATAATGTGTTACTCAACAATAGAGGCAAATGCACCTAATCACTTAACTTTCTAGGTCTGCTTCCTCCTGTATAAAAGGGATGGTTTTGAACATAAAGGATTTTTCAGGTTGCCGAGGGTTCAAATGTTTAGCCCTCCTCTTGACCCTGCAGAGCAGACCTTTCCAAGTCGAATTGGAGGCAGTGGACAGGCTCGTATTGTTGTCAGAGATTATGAGATAACAGAGGAGAACGACTTTTATTTCTAATCTCTTGTTTAATTTTGGGTTTGGGGGGATATCCAAAAAGGTCTCCATGTTCCTAATACCATTTAGCACCTTGCTACTCACAATGTGGTTCACGGACCAGCAATGCCAGTGTCACTTGTAAGAATCCTCAGAATCTTGCAGACCCTCACAATCAGAATTTCCACTTTAATAAGATCCTCAGGTGACTCCTATGCACATTAAAGTTTGAGAAGCACTGATAGAAAAGTCATCCTCAACTCACATTGTGCACGGAAACATCTGTGGAACCTTACAAATAACCGATGCTCAAACCCTGAGATTCGGATTTAATTGGTTGAGGTGGGGTCAGGGTAGTATTTCTACAAAGCTGCTCAGAAGATCCTAATGGGCATCAAGGGATGAGACTTCCTGACTGAACTGGGAATTCTTAGGTCTGATCACTGTAAAAGTTGGGCCAAAGAAGAAGGGGCCAGAGAATGTGACTTTCCAGAAAATCCTTCCCCTCTTCTGGAAAATTAGTTCAAAACACATATCTTATTCTTGGTGGATCAGTAGCACCATCCTAACATAGAAAGGAGATAATATTTATGTTATGTTTCAATTCTTTGTGCTGAGTTTAGTTTATACAGACTGAGAAATCAAATGAGATAGCATATATCTCTAAGAGCCTGGCACACATTAAGGTTTAAATGAATGTCCCCTTTCTCTGAAAAAGGTACAGTAGGAGTAGAAATAAATTTCAAGTGGTGTTAACAATGTAAAAACAATACAGAGATTTAAAAAGTTTTAGGGATCCAAATCTCTTACATACCAGGCTAGTCAGCACAGCTTCCTTCAGTCTCCAGAGGATGGCAGAGCAGATTAATAAATCGTCAGGGCTAGCTGCAGAGTTATGTCTGTCAACATGCTAGGTAAAGTGAAAAATTGATCTATCCATTCAATAACTTGGAAACAGTGTGTGTAAGCTCACCAAAGAAAGGAAAAACCTCACAGCTTAAATCCCATTTACAGATCTTATCAAAACTATAACTTGACAGGGCTTTATACTTTGCTATTTATTTTGTACCAAACATGACATTGACATGTTTGCAGGATGTTACATTTCTTAACAAATTAACCAAAGTTTCTGAACTATCTAATGAGACAGAATATTTGAAACAATTTATAATATTTGCATCTTGAATGAGAGCATATGGTATTGATTTATGCAATATTTGATACTTTTGACTGGTGTTTAAAATAATAAACAGAATAGTATGTAAACGCTGTTCTTTATAGACTACAGCACACATGCTCTTTTTGAATTCACAAAACTAAGAAGCTAATGTATATGTCTACTTCTTATTAACTCAGGCAAAAAGATAAACTTCAATGATATGAAAGCAATTTATACAGTATGGCACACAGGCTTATTTGGTTAAATTTATGGCATTTGATATTCACAAAGCCTTCAATTCTTTAAAATGTTCAAAGTAATGTAACCTGGCTACTTCTGTTCAGATTTTAAGTGCCCGAAGGATATGAGAAAAAAAGGGGCTCAATCAATGCTAGGCAATAACAAAACAAATTGCCCAAAGAAAACCAAAAATCTAAGGATGTATATTTATGTATTTAAACCTGATCAGAGTTCGTTATAGTTATTACCTCATGATTTAAAGCTGGCCTTAGCTGAAGATCATGACTGAAGAGCTGAGTTTTTCTTTGATTAACCAGTTCAAATATCATGTATGGTATTGCAGATTTGCAGGCATAGTGGACAGAGCAGATGCTCACTAAATATTTATTAAATAACTAGTCCAGCTCACTTAAATCGTTTTAACTCTTTCTCTGTTGGGAATCTGAATTGGGAGGGAGTAATAAAAACCACATTCTTAAAACAAGAGTCACTGCTGGGAGGTCAATAGTATTGGAAGACCTTCATCCAATTCGTTAGCCCACAACAGTGGTCGTCCGTAAGAGTGATATACTACTTTATGGGTTTGAAAAATAAAGAGAGACTGATTTTTAAATTCAATGACATAACCTGCTGAATTTGTATCAAAATTTTGGGGGGATTTTCCTGCCATAGAAAACTAGCTCTGTTAAATATCTGAAGTTAACTATAACTTTTTAAGGGTAACATTTTAAAGAACTTGTATTTGATTACCTTTTAATTCTATTACCTTTTTGTCCCTAACAATAAGTATAAAAAAAGAAATAATATTTTGTCTTGCATACATATATTTTAGGATAAAAAGACAAATAAACTTCAAGGTGAAGAGTCTCAATAACTTGACATGCAATTTAAATGATTATATCACCATAATACTCCAAGGAAGGAACTTGGACAATAGGGATTAAAATAAAACAATATAATCACTCTACAAAAATTTGATGAAATGCAGAGTTCAAAGGCAGATACACACACATGCATGCACACACACACACATAAACTCTATAGACCTTAGTGATCCTTAGAGCACATTTTCATAAATTATTTCACTTAGTTTTATAGGAAGAGATGTAAGTAGTTATGAACATGTACTTATTATTCCAATTTAACAGAAAAATAAAGTGTGGCTAAGATACTTGTCATACATAAGGAAACTTTGGTGATGCATGGTATAAAATCTTTATATGAAGCTGGGTCATTTTAGTAGAAGAGAGAAAATGTAAGTGGAAAATGCAAGTATATTTAACAAAATTGCATGAACACTTCAAAAAATATATTTTGGAGATTTTCAGCAAAGATTCTTAATGTTAAGTAGCTATTCGGAGCTGCAGTGATAGCATAGTCATTTTGGGGGGAACAGTAGAAGAGAGTAGCAACCAAATGAGTTGTGTGTGGTTATGAGAAAATTCCTTTCTCTACTCCAGTTGAGTTGTTAAGGTTTATAACGATATTAACAGAGGAATGTTTTGTTAACTATTGCAAACAGATGTTCGCATTTTGGTGGAATATTTTTAAACTATGGGAGAGCAATTAGGAAGGGAATATTTAATCTACTGGGCTCTTTTGTGTTAAGTTTTGGTTTGATGCATTTCTAATGAAGTGAAATAGGAAAGATGTATCACTAATGCTTAAAGGTAAAAATAGAAACTGTTTGAGAAGTAGTCTAAGGAGTGATTGGTCTCACAATTTTGACTCAGGTAACGCAGCAGGCTGTGATTTCCCCCCCAGTATATTGCTCTATCCAAACTTCGCAAAAATGACCAAAAAAACTGTTGTGAAACATTTTGTGATGAGCATTTTGTTTTGTTAACTATCCAATGATTTGTTTAAGTTTTTATGAAAACTGTGACATAAGGCTGGATGGGTATATGTAGAATTTCTATTCCTCTGACCCATTTCGTACCATTTAGTCCAAAAATATACTTGAATCTGCTGAAAAGCAAAACACTTATGTGTTGTTCAAGTACTTATAAATATTCTTGAAACAGGTCAATGAAAATTTGGGGTTGGGCCCTTCCCACTTTTTTGTTAGTCATCATAAAACAAATTATGGGGTAGGGAAACTTAAAAGTTTATGAGGTGGACACGGGAAGAATGGAAATATTTTAAGCACACCAAAAGAAATACCCATAAATATTCCAAGTCACATTATTCCCAGAAGTTCTGCCCCTGGAAGACATCACTTCACTCTGTCAGCCAATCACCATTCAGCAACATTATTCTTGGAGTCATAACTTTAGGAATGGTGTCAGAAACCAAGTGGGAATTTAAGGTCAGCGGTTAGAAAATCATCTATCCTGCTCACAACACTACTAAGCGCCAGTACCCACATTTCTCTGAACGCTTTTCGACATTTGGAGTTTGGGATTTTGAGACTAAGAAAATCAACTCAATTGAATGCAGACCTTGAACTTTGCTCAGAATATGCCTATTAATTTAAAATCCTATTTAACAATATTGAAAATGAAGTTGATAGTTATTCCATGTTAGATAATAACCTGGAAACCTGGTTAGTTTGTTGTTGCAGTGGGGGGTTTTATTTTTTTGGCCCACAAAAGAAAGAAAAATACAAGATGCTTTGAATTGTAGTACTTCATGAGAAAAGACCAATAAAAACACCAGTGTAGTACTCTCAAAATATCCAGGTAATATTTTGTAATATTTTAAGTTTCTATCTAAACCAGTGATTTTCAACCCTTTTCATCTCATGGCACACATAAACTAATTACCAAAATCCTGCAGCACACCAAAAAAATCTATTTTTTGCCTATCTGACAAAAAAATTAGGTATAGCTTTGACTCATTCACACTGGACAGCTATTGTGTTGGCTGTTGTCATTTTTTTATTTGACAATCTCAAGGGAAAGAGGTCAGTTCCCTTGACTAAACAGTCAGGTATTGCATGTTTTAAAATTTCTTGTGGCACACCGGTTGAAAATCACTGATCTAGACTAATGGGAAAAAAATATTTAATAGAGAAAGTTGAAATTTATATAAAATGTGTATAATTGTATAGGTTGAGTTATTTTCTGCATAATTAAAATAATAGCAAAAACCTAGGGAATGTAAGATAGGTTTTTTGCCAACAAGCAAAGGACTAAAATTGATGCTGAATAGTTGCATGTGTTTAACAAAATTAGAATATAAATACTAGTTTAAGATCCAAGTTAGTAGTTACAAAGGCAAATATTGCTACATAATTAAAAAATTCACATAAGATGGAATAAAACTAAATAGCTGCCTAATATTATTAATAAAATACATTTTAGAAGACTTTAAGACATTTCATAAGTTCAGAGATGATTTCATTCAAGAGAATCATAATATGAGTTTCTGAGTTTTGTTTCCTGGATAAAATTTTTAAAATCTCTAACATTATTTAAGAATGACTAAAGAATGTTTAGTGTTTGAATTAATAATAAATATGTATTTAATTGTTTTCTTATTTTTAAAATATATTAATTTGACTTACTTGATACTTTTTTCTCACTTAACTCGAGTTTTAAAGTACATATGCTAATTACATTTAACCTCTTTTATATTAATATATCAGAAATAATGAAAATTCCTTTATTGGATAGTATTTAAATTGCAGCAAAAACTAATTCATTTAATTTTTTAAAATGCAAAACTTTTAAGGAAAAGATACATATACATAACTATGGTGTTAAGCAAGAGTTACTTTAGTGAGGTAAGTTAACTTTTAAAATTTCTAAACAAAAACATAAAAAGTTTACATACCTACCAGTATCTTATTTTTCAATTTTTAATTGAATATTCAAATGGAATTAAAAATTCAAATTTGAATTTGATGTGTTTTGGTGATATATTAATTGAGCTTTCTATTTTCGTATTTTAAACCAAAGTGGTTAAATAAGGAAAACTGGCTGAAACTTGCAACTACTCTGATTGGGTTTCATTTTCTCACTTTCCAAAAATGTAAAACAAATGCAACATATACTTTAAATATTTGTAAGAAATACTGAAACTTGTTTTAATTTATTTCAGAAGAATGTGGCAGGCTGCAATGACTACGTTGAGACTTTTACAGTTATTTACCATAATACACATTATGTGCTGATATTCCTGTCCTGAAAAGATTATTATAAGATAGAAAGTATATATTCATAAAAAAGTTTTGGCTGTTTTAGGAAAGTCACTATGAGTTACCAAGTAATTAAAGTATGATGCAGAACTCAAATTTTGTTGTGTCAGTATTTATTAAAATAAATATATAAAAGTTAGATTGAGCTGCAAATGTATTCCATTTTAAGGAAACTTAGTATAAAAAGGCCAGAATCAGAAAAGAGGTTAATTAGATGGTGGTACTTCAAATTTGCTTCCTGCTGAATCTTTAATATATCTATATTTTAAAATATCTATATGTTTAATAGATCTATAGCTTCTTTACATTTATCTGTATTTATCAATTTTACAATGGATCTACGTAGCTTTAACTAAAATAATGATTTCCATTTTAAAAAACTTTGTTTTAGTTAAATATGTGTATTCTGAATGTATTCAAGAGTGTTTGCTATAGAAAGTAAGGGCAAAACTGACAACATGTCTAGGAGCCACTGCCCACTAAAAACAGATGTAAAAAAAATAATCAAAGTCCAATTGAGGAAATGAAATTTTATCCAGTTAGAAAGGCAGATACTGTAGATCTTACTCAGGCTCTGCCACTAGCCAGCTAAGGAGGTGGAACCAATGAACCCAACAGGCACTTGCACATCTGTGATTTTATAATTAGCGTTTCAGGTACACGAAGGATACAACCACAGATACATTCTATAACAGGACTGAACTCACGTCGGATGGAAAACTTACACTAAATCAATGTGGTCTGTACAGGCTCATGAAAGAAAAACATAGATATAAACTTGCAGTTATACATATAACAAACACACACATACGATGTACACATATGTATGCACGGTATATATTCCTTAGACTGCAAGTGTGGTTTGCTTTCAAACTGCTTGAAGAGAATCATGCACAAGTGTGATCCTCGTATTATCTACCTAGAAGCAATGACTCTTATTCCACTTTCTAACACATACCTGCCTTCCGGCTTCATTGTTATGAAGGTTCATTGCTAACAGTGCTTTGCTTTCCTTCCCCGTGGTGTTTCTGACGGGGAAGTCCAGGAACTTCCTGCTGAACCACATGCCATACTGGACGTCGTCGGAGCAGCCGCCCCAGTGCCAGCCTTCGCTGGCGGAGCCGCCGGCCTGCAAGGCGGTGTCACAGGAGCACTCGGACATGTTGCCCGCGCTGCAGGACCTGGTCACGGAATGCACCAGGCCTGCAGCCGTCACGGCATAAATAAATGCTGTCTCCTTCGTGCCTAGAATAAAACATAAATGGCCAACTGAGAGAGCCCACCACTCACTGTTCATGTTCATAACAGAGCCTCCTACTCATCCTTTTGACAGGGGAGCAATTTTTCAATGGTTCAGAGTGGACGCTTTAATGAGTACATACTTAGAAAGGATGGTTTCCTATTGTAGCATTTTAAGAAAGCAATCCCCGCTTGAGGGGACTGTCACATATTGGGTATCATTGTTCTCATACCTAAAAATATCTAAAATATGAAATGTATGTTGGCACCTAGCTCAGTATCTAACAGACAATAAAAGCTCAATAAACACACGTCAAATTTAAAATCCTTTGCATGGGTATGGTAAATGGTATACAACGCCCCCAAAGAGTCCAGATTACATTTCTTTTTAAATTTAAAATGTGTTCTCACAAAACAGAAGCTGAAAAATTTGGTGTAATTTTTGTTCACATAAATAATACCTGTCAGAAAGCAAATTAAAATTAAACCAAGACCAAAGCAATTAGTAACGAAATGATACAGTTTAGTTTCACATTAAAGACTCCTCTTTTCTTTTTTTTAGGATATCGTGAAAAACAATCCTGATATTAACTTAAAACCATTATATATTTTATATAGTACTAGCTAATCTTCTTACAGTCTTAAAGATAATGAAAATGAAAGATAATTGAAGTGTCACCAGCAAAATAAATAAAAATAAAAAGAATCGTTGCAGAAAATTATTGAATATTTATTTAGCACACCTGCAATAGCGTTTGCGCTAAAATCTTTGAAAGTTAAATGCCCATTAAAGCATAAACAAAATGGACTAGAAGAGACTCGCAGGCGACTTTTTTTTCCTTTAGAGATGTTTAGATTGGAGTAGAAACAATTTCACGGCCGTTGTCCAATAAACCTTTTCAACAGCTGATGCCTCTGCATTTCAGCAACTGTGAAGAACACATCCTTTCCCATGTTTTCCCCCGCGGGGGTCAGGGCTCCCTCGGAAGGGCGCGCCGGCCGGAGCGCAGCGGGCCGGGGCAGCGCTCTGGCGCCCGCGTGGGAACCGGGCGGGGAGGGTCAAAGGTGCGGGGCGAAGGGAAATGAATGTGAAAAACAACGAATCTTTCAGCGCCCAGGTCCTAAAGTTCTTTGAACCCGCTTATGGTCCCGGGACAACCCCGGTTCCCGGTTCCTCTGTCCTTGCAGAGCCACCAGCAGGCACGCGGAGGTGGAACCTTACTTTCCC